CACTGTGATGCCAGACCGGCACCTCGACCAAAGGGACGAAGGCATCAAGATTTTTGACTTGGACCTTGAGGAACAAGCAAAGAACTTGCTGCACGCCAAATGTGTCATGGTGCCGGATAAGCTCACTACGAGATGCCCACATTTTTCCGTTGGACCAGCCAGAACCGGGACACGTACGACCTGGATTCGGCATGGACTATTTTTGACTCGGTCGAATTTCCCACATCGCCATGGAAAAACGCACCAGCATGCTTGGGAAAGCTTGCTGGGGCGCTGGGAGGGAGCCCCATGGCACGCCATCCTGACCCACCAAGGTGCGTGGGCAGGCAGGCAGCTCCCCCCTATAGTAGGCTAATATGCAAAAACCCGCTCTCCAGCACCGGACATCCTTTTTTCTGGGGAGACATACTCGGTTTTTTTGAGGCTACGGGTCGAAGTTTGACCTGATTTTTAGCACAAGTGCTTATAAAAAGTGGGAGCAAGTGGTCCACAAAGTTTCACGATTTTTCTCCGAGCCGATACTTTTTCATGATTTTCCTAGCCGACGAGCTTTATGTCATTCCCGAAAATTAGAAAATGGGTGTGGACCATGTTTCTTGAGCTGTTCTATTGCAGGAGTTCCAGGAATATTATTCATAAACATTTCCCAGAGTTACGTCCATGTAAGGTCGAGGCATTTACCTCAAATGATTTTCAACCGACGTGCGGCACAATCCATGATGCCCTGACGGACACACGTGCCATGGCTTGGGTGAGTGTGCCATAGGCTAGGCCACGCACCACATGAATAAGGGACTATGTGTGTATCGTGGACTTTGCACCAATTCGACTAATCGCACACACAAGTTGCGGATCCACAACCCTCGAAGAGCAAAGTGGAAAACCAAAAATTCAAGATATCAATCTTGATGAGGCAAGTGATTCCAGATGCAACACATGAATAAGGGACTGCGTGAATTCCTAAACTCTGAAGGGTGAGCCAGATCAGACCCCCCAACACACTTCTAAGAGTCACAAGCCAACAAGCAACACAGTGTCACATGCCCTTATCTTTAACCAAACCTGCACTGAGAGGCCACAATCAAGACCCTCGCTTCCGCCATGGGAACCACCCACAACACACTACCAGATTATGGGACTTACGCCCCTTCGTGCTCTGCATATATGCCCATGAAGGGTTCACCGAGCACCACAACCTTCCGTGCAGAACGTGCCACAGTAGAAGGCACGACAATTCCGAGGGATCCCCGCAACAAACCAACTCTGCACTGTGAGGCCAGGCCGGCACCTCAACAGAACACTTTCCCGAGGGACAAGGCGACAGGAGAAACATTGCTGATTGATTCGACCACGACCGCCCCATGGCTCCAACCGTGTTGAACAGCCCAGGGTGCACTTCCGGATGCTTGGGAACTTGACCCATGCATGGTGCTGCGGATACGCCCAAGAAGGGTTCACCGAGCACCACAACCTTCCGTGAACAACGGGCCTCGGTAGAAGCAACGACAATTCCGAGGGATCCCCGCAACAAACCAACCCTGCACTGTGAGGCCAGGCCGGCACCTCGACAGAACACTTTTCCGAGGGACAAGGCGACAGGAGAAACATTGCTGATTGATTCGACCACGTCCGCCCCATGGCTCCAACCGTGTTGAACAGCCCAGGGTGCACTTCCGGATGATTGGGAACTTGACCCATGGTGCTGCGGCTACGCCCATGAAGGGTTCACCGAGCACCACAACCTTCCGTGCAGAACGGGCCACAGTAGAAGCCACGACAATTCCGAGGGATCCCCGCAACAAACCAACTCTGCACTGTGAGGCCAGGCCGGCACCTCAACAGAACACTTTCCCGAGGGACAAGGCGACAGGAGAAACATTGTTGATTGATTCGACCACGACCGCCCCATGGCTCCAACCGTGTTGAACCGCCCAGGGTGCACTTCCGGATGCTTGGGAACTTGACCCTTCGTGCCTGAAGATATTACCAAAACCATCCGTGCAGATCAGGCCACACATGAACACACGACAATTCCGAGGTATCCGCAACAACCCATCTCGGCACTGTGAGGCCAGGCAGGCACCTCAACAGCGCACACTTTTCCGAGGGACAGGCAACAGGGGACACGTTGCTGATGGCCTCAACCACAAACGCGCCATGGCCTCAACCATGTTCAACCGCCAAAAGTGCACTTCCGGATGCTTGGAAACTTGCCCCTTCGTGCTACGGCCATGCCCATTAGAGCAACACCTAGCGCCACATCCTTCCGTGCAGAACGGGTCACACGAGAAGCCTCGGCACGTCCGAGGGATGCCCACAACTACCCATCTCGGCACTGTGAGGCCAGGCCGGCACCTCAACAGAGCACACATTTCCGAGGGACGAGGCGACTGCAGAGACGATGCTGATGGCCTCAACCACTACCGCGCCATGGCCTCAACCATGTTCAACCGCCAAAAGTGCACTTCCGGATGCTTGGACACTTGCCCCTTCGTGCTAC